TCACATATCAACAAATAGTTTAGTGGTTGTTTGAGGAAAAGTTGATTGGTGTGTGAACGGTGAAAGGTGTGTTATGCATTTGCGAAGGTATTCTTTGGATGTTCTGAGTGGTTGCTTTACTATCTCACACCCAGATAGTATCTGGATAATTTGATTATAGTCTAATCTGAAATTCGCTGTGATTCTGTGTGCAGTGTAAAGAAGGTGGTTTCCCTCATGACCTCTGGCTGAGCGTGAGTGCCGAGAACGTGTCTGTGTATAAGAGAGGAGAGGCCAAACCTCTGGAGACTTTCCCCTACGAACACATTGTCTTCTTCGGAGCTCCTCTTGCCAGCACATACAAGATCACAGTGGATGGGAGAGACATGTTTTTTGAGACACCTCAGGTAATCAAATGTCATTTTAAATGGATAGTTCACCCAAAGACGTCATCATGTACTCATCCACATGTCTTTCCAAAGCCATAAGACTTCATCTTCAAAACACAAAGGAAGATATTTTAAATAAAACCTGAGAAATTCGTTCATAAAAAGTCATTACACCAAAATGTAGATGCTTCATAAGTTCGTAAACTACATCTATATGAATTGAACATTTTAATCCAAGTCTTCTCTCAAAACACAAAGGAAGATATTTTAAATGAAACCTGAGAAATTCGTTCATAAAAAGTCATTACACCAAAATGTAGATGCTTCATAAGTTCGTAAACTACATCTATATGAATTGAGCATTTTAATCCAAGTCTTCTGAATAGAGATAATTACTGTAAGAACAGCTTTGATGTAGACTTATTTTCACATATAAACATTGACCAACACATCCAATATGGTAAACAGAATCTCAAACATTCTTGCTTGATGCACAAGAACCACTGAGGTTTGTTTTTGCCTGTTATGAAGTGTGTTTGAACTTCCGTTAACCATATTTAATGCACTGTATGCATGTACTTGTTTTAAACCACTAGATTCATAATAATTGCTTCATGAGCTTTTTGAATCTTCAAAGTTTGGTTGTCAAAGATAAGTCTTATGAGTTTTGACGCAAATAATGATCACAGAATTTACATTTTTGGGTGAACTGTCCCTGTAGGAATACATAATCAACATACAATTGAATAGAAGTGTTCACTGTGTAAACTGTGGCTTTCAGGTTGGAGAGATCACCAAAATAATGAAAGCCTACATCAACATGATAGTTAAGAAGCGATGCAGCGTCAGATCAGTGGCCAGCTTTGGGAGCAACTGGATCAGGTGATGAGTATTGACCAATCACAGTCTAGACGCTAGAGATTTCCTTCTCATTGATGGAAAAAGGAACTTAACAGCGGGGTTGCGGATTGGCGAATATAAGATGATGATACAGGAACCAGTGAGAAGACAAACATCTTTTAAAATTCTGCAACCACCCTAATAACGTATCATATTTAATGATTAATGTACAGTTATGTGGAGTGGGATTTTGGACCAATGAGATTTCAACTGAATGTCCTGTAAATCATCACAATTGAGTTTAGAACTTGTTCCTTTATCCCATCACGTCTGGTTAGTTAGTACGTGGTGCAATGCTTGTTAACCAGCAAATGTTCATCGCCAATACCTCAAAGTCCTGAATGCTTTAATATGCTCCTTTCTGGTTTTCTAATTTTGGCCATTTTCAGGTTTGAACACTCTTTGAAGTGAAAAGATCCAAACAGGGTGTTAAATGTTACAAACAAAACAGTGTTTTGTTGAGAGCTCTTAAAGACTCATAGCCTGAAGGGATTGCACACATCGAAAGTGTCAACAGCCATGTTAAAACTTGTCCGTTTGCCTTACTCCGCACAAGGGCTGGTCTGTGCAGATTTGCGTCATTTAGATTGCTTTCTGTGTTACTGCTTAACTGTTACTGAACCTTCACTCAGGTTCCTTAGGTTGAAAAATTGAGGAAAGGGTTTTCTGCCTTTGTCTTGCCATTTTCATTTATGCGTTCTCTTATGTATTGTGCATAAGGGGCCATTCACACAAAATGTGTTTTTGAATTCCACTGATCTGCTTTTCCATCGTAAACGCACTAGATCGATGTGCTTAGCCCTTAAAAAAAGCTGGGCAGTGGGAAAGGTCTAGACTAGAGACTTATTTAAAGCTTCAAACTGAAACTGTCATCCACATTTTTGAGCCCAGATGTGAAAATAAATCCTTTTAGTTCATGATGGTTGTAAGTTCATACCAACCAAAGTTTGGTCTGTTTTTAAAGAAGAGACTTTAAAGTGCTTCCACTTCTGCAATAATCTGCTATCATAAAAATTGAGCCTGCTTTAATGTACCGTTTCCATGGTCAGATACGCACAACGGTCAAACACTCCAGCCTAGTTAGTGCATGTTGACAAAACAATAGAAAAACGCACTCTGGGTGAATGGCCCGTTCTGGGTTAAGCTCAGGTACAGTATAAAGACAAGCAATATCTCAACATTTCAGTGCAGTGTTCTGGGTGTTATAGCAACAAAAGATTTGACAGGAAATATGTCGAATACCACTGTACTGATATTTATTTTGCAGAAAAGCTGTCACAAAAAATACAGTAAAAAAACAAGCTGTTTTTCACACAGTATTTTACACAGTAGGTCAGTTGTAAATCCATTCTTTCAAGAAAAGCAAATCCATTTTAGTTCATACATCAATCCTTTTTTAAGACATCATCTGGATGTTTTATTTTTGTTCCAAGATGGTTAAGAATGTCTTAAAGGAAGCCTGCATACTTAACTGAAGGATGTTTTTGTGTGCCTAAAAGAGAGTGAATAATTATGGGTGGGCTGGGTATTTATTCAGTGTTAGTGCTGTTGTATGGATGATGATGTTTTGTTGATGGCATGTTGTGTACAGACTACATCAGTGATGTAACACACAGTGATAGTATGAATGAATGACACTGTGGTATCAGAGGTACCATGGCCTCATTCAAAGTTCTGTTCATTATTGCTCTATTAATAAATCCGTTGAGCTGCTGGTCAGTTCAATTCCAGAGTCATCGTCTTTAGTTTAGAGTCAAAATATTTCAAGATTGTGTAGAGGTTGAAAATCAAAGGTTGTTTTGTTTTTTTGTAACTGGATTTACAAAATGCTTAATAAATTATTTCAGTTCCAGATGTGGTGTGGATTATTTAAATGTTATCGAATTACCTTACATTTTCCTTTGTTCTTTGCATTCCCACAATCTAATGTGTGTAATATAAAATAATAAACAACTGCAACACGCATTCATTCCTTTTTCCAAAATTCCCTTGTAATAAGAAAATTTTGGTTGGATTTTTTTTTAGTTTGTGTTAGTTTATATCTGTTAGTATCTGTTATAATATATGAACATAATATTATATATTATATTACGCTGGCATATACATGGGACACGAAACACTGCAGAATGAGGCTTTTTTTTTTTGAAAAATTGAAAAATGATTTTTTTTTTTTAGATATGTGGAATAATCTGAGCACAAAAAACAACAACAAAACACAAGACCAACCACTACAAGATGGAGAAATCTGGATAATGCATTTTGATAACATATGGAAACCATCAAATCAACTCAATGACAATTATTATCTGATCAAAATAAATCTACACACTTCTGAAGCGACAATTAAAATCCACTTCCCAATTACACAATTTGACAAACAAACTTTAAAGCCAAAAATGTCAGAAATCGTGTGGTCCTCCTGACCGCATTCTTGGTGAAATGCTGAAACAGTACACCTGAGCTGCAGGCGGCTGTGCTCAAACCGTTCAACATTGTACTTAGTTCGGGCTGTTTTCCTTACATCTGGAGCCAGGGACTTATTACTGAAATTCATAAGAGAGGAAATAAATGGGATCCTAATTATTTCAGAGGCCTTTGTGTGAGCAGTAATCTGGGGAAGCTATTTAGCAGTATTTTAAACAATAGAATTGTAAGCTTTCTTAACAAACACAATATCCTGAGCCTGAGTCAGATTGGCTTCCTTCCAAATCACAGAACTACTGACCACATTTTCACCCTTCACACCCTAATCGTAAAACAGACCAAACACGGAAAAATATTTGCATGCTTTGTCGATTTCAAACAAGATTTCAAATTTCATGATAAAGTTTAAAGAGCTCTATACGCTATTAAGAAGAAATTCCAAAACATTGAAACACTGATTCCAATCTGTTCCAATTACACTATCCAATCTGACTCCAATCAGCCCATTACGCTGTCAGGAAGTGATGTTTGGGGATGATTTGGAAAATAATCCCTCAAATTATGGATGCATCTAAAATCAAGTCCCACAGAATTGCTTCATTTTAAAGCATTACAAACACAAGAAATGAACCCTGAAAAAAGTCCCCTCAGTCAGCTAGTTCTGACTTCTGAGACTTACTAACCTGACTAACTACTAACACTAACCAGTCTAATACCAGAACTGCTTCTCACACAAACATCAAAATAAATCAAATTATAAAACAGTCTAAAAATGTATATCTGGAACATTGCGATCAGGAAACTAAAACACAAGTAAATTACAATTCTATCAAGAAATCAAAGTATGAATTGAAAAAATATCCCCAGAGTGTCAGACACAAAGCTTCACTGTCACAAATACATTTCCCCTGTCCCCCACAGCGACCCTCAGTAATGGGTGTGTGTCTGTGTGCGAATGTGTGTTAAAACACTGTGGTATCAAATGTTCACACATCTGAATTTGAATTTAGAATAGAGACAGACTGATATATTTATTTATTTTAATTTTTATTGTATTATTTTACAAATGTTATCCATTAAAAAATACAAACAGATCAGAATGTGTATTTAAATACATATTTTATTTTGATAAATAGTTGATGTGTGATTAATTGTCTAAATAATTTTAAGAAGCCAACATGTCATTTAAAAAAAATAAGAATTGTTTTGTCAGAAAATAAACTTATAAATCAGTGAGTGCCTCAAATAAACCCTGCTTAACCATAAACCACTATTTCGAAACTGGGAGGTTCTTGAAAAGACGAGGTTCAATCCTTCCTTCAAGAACACATGACCAACCAGGGCAGAAACACACAGATCCGCTGCGTTTGCCAACATGATCAAAACTTGGACTTTTTTACTGTCTTTTGTTTTCTTTGTCTTCAGTTTTGCTGTTGTTTTTGCCCAGACGGCAAGTCCAGTAACAAGTAAGTTTGGGCCACAGTGCTGTTTGTTTACAATCTTTAGATACGATGTTAGATACGGTAAAACAACAATGGCTAACTAACTGTTACTTCAATATTATTTACCTATTTTTGGGAATCAGCTTTTAGGTTCGTTTCGGTTCGAACGCATGATGCCCATTTGTAAGGTTTTCAAACTATGTTTTTGCAGTTCGTTTGTCTGGCTACCAAGCACACTTTCCCGAATTAATCGTTCTACATCGTCTATTTTCTTGGAAATAGTAACGTCTTAATAAGTCACGTATAATACAACCACTGTTGCAAATGTGACTTTGAGCAGCTGATCATATGACCCAGGCTTAGTAAAACATCGGGACCAAGCCAGTTTTAGCCATTGAAAGAATTTTGTGGCGTAAACGACTAAATTGGTTCAAAACGTGTTTTGTTGACGCTTTTATGAATTTGATCCGATCATGACGTAAAGGCAGAGAGAGTGTGACCTGTTATCACATGATAGAAAACTTAAGAGGTCAGGGAGAATATTTTATATAACTGCTTGAAGATAATTTGTTTTATTGACATTCAAAATAGAATTCTGAGCAATGCTGTATGTTTTAGATTTTATTTATTAAACTATGGTTCAAATCAGCTGTAACATTGATGCCAGACTTGTCCCTAAAACTGCCTTCTTTTCACAGACTGCACTATAAAATCCAACACAACTTGTGAAGAATGTCTGAAGATTGTTTCGGTAGGATTTGTCAGTGTGTATATAATTTGTTATTTACCGATGACACTTCCAAACCCCTTAGAATTTGTTATACAGACAGCAAAAATTTGTGAAAAATTGTTCTGTGACATAAATGTATAGTTGTGGATGTAATATAAATAATAATAATTGTGGATGCTATCTTTTGTTCAGTGTTTGTGGTGCATCTCAAGCCAGAAATGCATCGACTATCCAGTGAAGAGCGTTCTACCATCTCGTAGTGTCTGTCCTCTCTCAGATGCACGATGGGGAATGTGCTGGAGTAAGACCGACAATCACATACAGCGGGAAACATATTGTCATTAGTAGACTTAATGGATGTATTATGTGCATTTTTTTTAATTATAAGCATGCACAGTTTACATTTCCCACTTCTCATCGGTTTACATTCCCATTGTGTTTTAAATATGGAACAGGTTTGAACAGTATAATTTGTGTACATTTAGTTAATATTGTGTATTGTTGAATATATAGCCTATATCTGTTGTCAAATAGCTTCAAATTATTTTAGCCCTGTCCCATAAAACATAAGTAAAAAAATGATCTTCCATTCTGCATGCGGAATATAAACGTGTATGCTGAACTGTAAAAACTACAACTTTATTCGCCACATTCTTAGTCCATAGTTCACAGTAGCTTTAACTTAATTACATTCTTGATTGTCACTTTATTACTTTGAACTCTTTTAAAATGAGTCAAGGGAAGTTTAACCTTCTGCATATACTGCCTGTTTTGGAGTACAAGTTGTGGACAGGAATGATCACGTCAATTCTGTGTTGTATCGAATCACAGTGAATTTCCAGACTCTCATCATTACCATCTCTGTGATCGCCGGGGTGATCCTCGTCGCCATATTCGTCTGCTGCTTCTGCTGCTGTAAATGTGAAAACATTGGGTAAGAGGAAACCAGCCCTTTTCATTAAAGCTTTTAATATTATGGGAAGGCAGTTTAGGGGTGCAAAAGTCTTAGACACATTAGTGTTTTCACTCAAAAAAGTTTAAAGCCCGACAGTTATTTATATATTTTTGCTATGGTGTGTCAGTAGGAAATCAGTGATAACATGGACATTACATCACAACATTTATTTCCATCAAGAGGTGCATCAGTTTTTGTTCTTGAATTGATCTTGAATTGACAATGGAAGTGTACTTTAGCACATCGCAAAGACCTTGATTGAATTTAAGGTCTGGACTAGAGGTGCCAGAGGTGTGTGAAATTGACTGTGAATTGTTCACAGTTTGAGCCTGTTGAATTGTGACATTGTCATCCTGGAATATGGCCATGATGTGTCTTTATACATGGTTGTTTAATAAATGAAAGGCTAACCACTCCATTAATATTAGGGTTAGAAGAATTGTTGCCATACATATAACTTGCTAGAAACATAATCACTGATGATAGCCAGTCATATCTCTTAAGCATGTGCCTATTTTAATACAAACAGTGAGTTGCTGTTATGGGATTGGCTGATTTTATATATATATATATATATATATATATATGTATGTGTGTGTGTGTGTGTTACTGCTATTAATAATTAATAAATAATGGCCAGCACATTGGAGGACATAAGAAATGACTAAAACATTTATCCTAATAATCTGAAAGGTCTAAGAGGAATGATGAGCGAATGGAGAGACAAGCTCATCTGAAAAGTTTTCGCAAAGAGGAGAGGTATGATTTGTTTTGCGAAAAATAATTCCACATATTTGAGTTTGTTAATAAATATGAAGAGCATTTAGTCTTGTCTTGATGAAATAGTGTTAAGAATTTTTTTTTTCTGCAGGAAAGCAGAGATGAGGAAGAGACATGATGAAATGCGATTGAAATATGGTAAAATTTCCCTTTCATCATAAATTATGTATAAAATGAATAGAAGTATCCTCTATAGTTAACTTATAAATGTTAGTTATACTGTGTTTCAGAGTTTGAACTTTACTCACTCTGTTTCAGGTTTGACAAAGGATAACCAGTACTCCAGATTTGAGAACAGCTAAGAAACTTTTGATGATGCTCCACTGTTGACTTTTCTTAATACCTCTCAAAAATGAACACATTTCCTTGCATATCCAGCACTCCATTTTTATTTGATTGTACTAGTTGCCAGCTGGCCACAGAAGCATACATAAATTTGATTTATTCATACCTAGATTTTTAACAGATCTGCACGCAAACCACAATTTAGACATTGTATTGTAAAAAAGCTTTGTAAATGTAGTACCCTGATGACTTTTTGCAAATCCAAATAAGTGACAAAATAAATTCAGCAAGATGTGTTGATAATTGAGTGCATTGGGCCAAACCTGATTTTTGGTTGGCTGCACATGTCATTTAATGTAGCTTTTTAATCAGATTAAACTAGGACTTGCCTTGCATAAATTATAAATTGATATTTCAATATAACTTGGTTTTGTGTTTGTCAATGTTTTAATCACTAGCTCTTTGTAATTACCAAATGGTTGATATATCAGTGTGATTTACAAAGCCAAATAAACTTGGATTAAAAGTGAATACTGTATATTTCTTATTGTTTATTGTAGATTATTAGGAAGTACTGATCTGTTGTTAGACAAACAAGAAAAAGGTAATTATTAATGTAAATTATAGCAAGTTTTAGCTTTGAATCTAAATGTTTTTTTTGTTTTTTTGTTTTTGTTTTTTTTTGCAATAAGCTTATTCATCATTCAAATAGATTTTGAGTATAGTTTTGACCTAAATCAGAACTAGAGTAATTTTTCAAGTGGCACATTTTTTATTTATTTATTTTTTTTACAAAAATATTTTTCATATTTTTTGTGTTCGTGTAACTTTACTGAAGTTGAAGTTTTAAAAAAATTACATTTAATTGTATATGTAATTAAAATTTTAAGCACACACACATAATGTTTAACAATGTTTTCAGTTTTTATACCTGATACCCCAAAATGAATAATGTAACATTTTTCATTGAGCAAAATTAATGCGCACACTATATTTTATTTATAAATAATTAGTTTTTGGCCTCAAACCTCAAGCAGAACACGAGGATTGGTCACGTGGTTTCATTCTGTCCAATAAAATAGACGAGTTGATTTTGCGCGTTCTCGGGCCTGCTGGGAACCACGTGGTTTTACCTGGTCCAATCAAATGGGCGAATCCAGTTTGCGCGTCCTTGCTGAGCGCGGGGAGGACAGAAGCGGGTAGTAGCGCTCTCGTCTTACCGTCACATCCACAATATCAGGAAAATCCTACATTTCTACAAAAATGTCAGAAGAGAAACCAAAGGTACATGCATGTCTTTGTGTTCTGAGCTCCAGTAGCATGGAGAGGAATATTTTGATGTGATTATAATGCATGAATGTAGATTGTATGGGACCTGCACTTTATATGTGGTTAGAAGGGAAACAAAGAGGTTTTCAACAAAGATTTTGCGCATTTTCCACATGTGGCCATTTAACTCAGCCATCCATCCAATTACATGGACAACCATAACAATTCTCGTCGCTTATAGTCAAATCGGCAGTTTTTCGCTTCATTTCAGCATCAACAAGATGCTCAGATTGGCTTTCTTTCATGGCGGATAGTTGATTCAACTTTGCGCCAAACGCAGTTGCACTGAAAGGGTAACGTTAACACTGTCTAAATTCTCGCGCAGGTTGCAGTCCTTTATTAGTAGTGCTTGTACTGATTCATATTTTAGACTCAAGTCTTGCTATCTATCGCGTTATTAACATCCCAAATCGTGTTTTCCCTATTACAGGAACATCTAACCTTAATGTTTGATAGAGCGGCTGCATGTGATGGACAATGTGGCTTTAGCGCAAATTGCTCTCCTGATGTGTGTGTGTAGACCCTTCTGTGTGATTAAAACAACACTTTGCATGCTCATTAATCACTCTTTAATCGGTATATTTTGCTCTGCATATTTCATTTCAGGAGGGCGTGAAGACTGAAAATGACCACATCAATTTGAAAGTGGCAGGTCAGGATGGATCTGTGGTCCAGTTTAAAATCAAAAGGCACACCCCCCTCAGCAAACTGATGAAGGCATACTGCGAAAGACAGGTGAGGCATCAGCTTGAGTTCCAGTGATTCTGATGTCTGTACTCCTGAAGCATTGTACGTCTGGTTATAGCAGAACTATAACTTGGATTTTTTTTTTTTTCAGGGTTTATCCATAAGGCAAATACGATTCAGGTTTGATGGTCAGCCAATCAATGAGACGGACACACCTGCACAGGTTTGTACTTTATCTTTTTGTTTTGAGCAGCTCAGAATGAAAGCAGTAACTGGTTAATAAAGAAATCCTCTCCTGCTATGGTGACTTTCTATTTCAGTTGTATTAATTGACTCCAAATGCCTTTAAGGATGCAACATCTGTAAAACAAGTTTAATCAATTCGTACAGTCAACCAATCATTTTAATTATGTTTTTGTCATCGAAAGTGTATTTGAAAACCTAGAGCTCGGGCACAAATAAGCTCAGATTAGGCCTCAGATTAAAATGTTTCTCAATCTTTTTGTCATGTGAATTTCCAGCTGGAAATGGAGGATGAAGACACTATTGATGTATTCCAGCAGCAGACGGGAGGGACGTGCTAAAGATGGAGCACGTGTGGATGATGTTTTTTTGTGTGCTCTTCACTTCCACTGCAGTTCAGGACTGAAATGGTAAAGGTTTTGGAAATCTAATGTTTAAGTTAATAGTTTTTTTTTTCTCTCTCTCTCTCACTTTTTAATCATCCAAAAACCTAATTTCCATTTTTGCAATTTTCTCTCTGAATCGTATTGGAAATCAGTGTCTAATGTTGTTTCTCCCCCACCTTTAGAGTTTATTGTATGCGTATTACACACATTTTTTTTTTTTTTTGTATAATGTACGTATGTTGCACCTCCCCATCTATTTTTTTATATACAAGGAGGGAAAAGTTTTGTGAAAGGATGTTTGTGACTAAAGTCTATGGTCTCAGATTTTCTTTAATCGCAGTAAACTACTCTAAGACTCCCTTTTTATGGACAATTTCAAATGTCGACATTGCAGCATTGTTTCTGACCCCTCAGGTTTGATGAAGCTAGATCATGGATTGTATTCCAGTAGATATTTTTTTAATTTTAAAAGCTTTGAATATGTCTCTAAAAGTTTGCTGTCTGCTAAATTTGGATTTCATGATCTACAAATGAAGTGTTCCCCATGTTTTTATTGTCATACTTTTTGCAATTTACAAATACATAATATTGTAACAATCCCCCTTATTTAGCCTTTCTGGCATATCAAAAGTATTAAACACTATCCTGGTGAAATAGCAGCTCCACAGTCAACTCAACATATGTGAGAATTGTAATGGGAATGGCAGTGGTGTTCGGGAGAGCAGAGGATCCGGTGTTGGCCATTTACTACTGTATATAATAAATCTAGTTTGATACTGATCTGTCTTGTTCTTATGCCTGTGCAGTGAAAATAAAATGGGTTGCCACTAGATGGAGCAACTGCAAAAAGATTGAATGTAGTTCTAGAATAGTTTGTGAAACGTCTTGTCAGTTCTGATAGTGCTTGATTATTTCTAAAGGAGTCAAGCATGTTGATATGTGCTGGAGATTTTCTTAATGTTGATAAGGTTCCATTTGTTAACAGTAGTAAACTACAAACTAACAATGAAAAATACGTCTAAAGCATTTAATAATTTATTTTAATTTCAGCTGTTACTGATACATAATTAAAACAAAAAAAAGGTGTTTAAAGGAGTAGTTCCCTTTTCAAAAAACTTTTGCTGATGATTTACTCACCCCCATGTCATCCAAGATGTCCATGTCATTCTTTCTTCAGTCGAAAAGAAATTAATGTTTTTGGTAAAAACATTCCAGGATTTTTCTCCATATAATGCACTTTAATGGGAACAAAATGGGTCAAGGTCCAAAAGACAGTTTCAGTGCAAACTGTTCAAAGGGCTTAAAACGATTCCAGACGATGAATAAGGGTCTTATCAAGCAAAAAGATCGCTCGTTTAAAAAAAAAAATAACAAAGTTTAAATTTTATAAGCTCAAATGCTTGCTCTGTTCTGTGATGCCCATTTGTGACTCTCCTGTTCGAACTTGTTCATCAAAATGAACGAATCTTTTTCCAAATCAATTTGTTCGTTTTGTTCGTTGAATGAACCAAATGATCACAAATGTGCACTTTATACAGTGCTGCCTTGATCAAAAAAAAAAACTTCTGCATGTTAGTGTACTTGGTTTTGTAATTTTTTAAATCTTGTTATGCACCATACCAATTTAAAACTCTTATCAGCACTTTTGTTGTCATGTTTACATCTAACTCTAGTTCTTCTGGCTTTCTGAAGTCTTCAGATTGTCTGAGTTACAGCCCTCAAGGTGAAAGTGTTAACATTTGATATATCAGCTATGAATTTGTTTAAGCATTGATACCTGATAGAAATAAGGAAGATTGATAACACTGTTAAGGAAATAAGATAGGAGGGTTTTTTTCCATCAGCAGGTTTTTCTCCCTCTTTATGAAAAGCAGCTTTGCATGGCCTGATTTTATTATTCAGCAATTACATAATTTAATAACCACACAATTAACATGTTCGGCCGTGAACTAAAAAAAAAAAGCTATATTTCCATTTCAGTTTGCACTCATTTTGTGGATTGCACTTTAAAACCAAAGCTCATTTGTTTATTGGTATCTGTGTTTACATTCGGTCTCATCAGAGAAGCCCCACTGTGCTAATGAGTGAGTTCACAGTATGCTGCTAAATACCTCCCTCGTACACGGTAACACATTTTGCAACAGAGAGATCAGAGAGCAAGAGCAGAGAAGTGTGTTTATCCCAAGCGTTTAACTTGAAGCACTCAGTAATCCCATCTAACGGCAGATGAATTACCTCCTGACCTGCCCGTACATGTGGAGAGTCAATGAGGGTACAAAGGGACATTTACCATCCCAAACATTCAGTGGGAATGTCGTGGTTTGGAAACATCATGCATCTCTTTTATTGAAAGATTTCGCAAACATTGTAAAGCGAATATTTTTCATTATAATCCCTGCTCAAAAATGTTCCATCTCCATTGTCTCTCCACAATCCCATGTTGACATTTAGCCCACATGATTGTTTCTCAATCCCACTCTTGATCCACAACATGACGGCTAACAGTAATGGTGATGGATAAAATGGCTATTTGGGTTACAATGAAGTACACAAAGTTACTTTCTTTCCTGATCTGTTGTAGCAGTATGACAGTGAAATCCCTAGATATTACTAAATTTGCTTTTAGATTTTTAGCAAGCTGGAGACAAATTGTTCCATTCATATTCCAAATAAAATGCTTGCTTCAAAAGATTTTTCTTCTTTACCCTTAAAGGGATAGTTCACCAAAACTAAAAACTCTCTCATCATTTAATCACCCTTATGCCATCCCTGTTGAACATGACTTTCTTTCTTCAGATAAACACACATTACAATTTTAAGAAAATAATCAATCTGTGAGTCCATATAATGCGAGTGAATGGCTGCCTCTCGGTTGACGCTTGAAAA